GAGAGATTAAAAAAAAAAAAAAGACTCTCGCTCGATCATTCTGACGTCACTGTGGCTAAAGTGGTTTGAGTTAAAACAAACAAGTATCTCGTTTCAGTCGTGACCGGCCGAGACGCTAATGGAGCGTGGATGAAGGTTTCGGCCTCTGTTGAAAATCCAACATCTGGAACCGACTGTTACGTAAGACTGGACGGATTTCTGCCGCTCAGCTTCTCTCGGTTTTCACAAAAGATCAACTCAAGAAAAGTGTTGAATCAGTGGAGGGGGAGGGGCGACAGAAATGGAAGATTTTACTGTCGTTACTGAAAAAATAAGTTCAAACTCCAACAAAAGACTCAAAACTAAATAATAATAAGAGTGTTTTTTATTTATGAATCGAGCGATCTTACCACTTCCTGATCTCCTCCGGCGACCGGCACCCAGATCACGATGTATTCCCGTACGTTGCCCTCGGCCGGCTCCCAGCGGACGTTCAGAGTGCTGGTGGTCGGATCAGTAACCTGCAGGTTCCTCACAAGACCCAGAGGCTCTGAGAGCAGAAACCAAACAGGAAGAGAAACTTAGAGTTTGCAGGGAAGACGGGGGTTTGCCAGGAAACGTCACTTTAGGTTTATTCAGTTTTAATGTGCTTTTGAGTGCAACGAACTCAACTTAAGACGTTTTTAAAACCACCTGAAATCCAACTTATGAACAAACTTGCAATCCAAAATAACTCAAACGTGAAAATATCTACATTAAACTAGAAAATGGAGAATTTATAGTTTTTATATGAAAGTTTACGTGTTTTGCTGCCGAACTTTATCACCAACAGATCAGTTTAACCACTGAGTCCATTCCTGGCAGAGCTCGTACGTCTCGCACAGAGGAAGTGTTTGATTGGGTTTTCAGGACACGCTCACTCACTTGTCCTGCCGCTGTCGGACAGACTGGGTCCGTCTCCCTCGGCGTAAACGGGCACCACGGTGACGGTGTAGCGGGTGTCGGGCAGAAGCTTCTCCAGGACGGTGGTGGTGGTGCTCTCCGACACTTGCTCCTGCAAGGAAACATGCGGTGAACTGTCAGATACTTTGTGGAGCTGCACCAAGAGGCTGAATTCCTCCCAGCTCAAAGAGCCGTGACCTCTGACCTCCAGCAGGTGAAAGTTCAAATGTTTCCCTGAGGAAACAGCTGGTTTCTCAGGCTGCTGCACATTGTACAGACATTAACACTTTACATGTTTGGGCTTAAGTTCCAATCATCTTTATCTGTTATATCAAAAACTTTTTTGTACCTTCTTAACATTTTCCACTGAAACCAGCTGAAAGAAACGACGATACACTAAAGTGAACTGACAATATACAGTAAATAAAACATTCACCAACGTAAATAAAAGTTTATTTGTCATTAAAAGATATTTTTTAATGGTTAACTTCTCTAGTTTCATTTGCTCAGGAATTAACTTCTTACGTTGCGTTAAACTGAGTCGACTCCAGGATGAGTAATGTTTACTGTTAAACCTTCGGAAGCTTTTAACTTCCTCCGGAGCAGGTGTTGAAAACTCCTCTGCACAGTTTACTCCAGACAAACACCAGGTAGAAGTTACGACATCGCCGGAGACAAATGAGGCGTTTCAAACAAAGGTGGATCTGTTATTTCACAGCTCTTTACATTCTGAGTCTTATCGAGTGTGTGGACGGCAGGCGTGTGATTAGCAGGATTTCCATGTTGTAAGATTTGGGTCTACACGTGCACGCTGCGCCTCGTAAGCATTCTGCGCAGCGACGAGGGATCCAAGCTGCCAGAGAGGATTTAGGTCTTATTGTGAGGCAACTGCTCGACGGTATTAACACGTCAGAAAGACTGACACGACTAAATCCCTGCTGAGGGCTTTGATCGTTTGGACAACTCAAACTCAGACTGAAAGTCTTTTGATTAACTTCTCCTTTAATCCTGAGTGACTGTCTGACGAGCGTCTGTTGAATTTATGTTGTTTTTTTTTTACTGCAAACACAAAGAGCCAGAAACATTTCAACCAAGTAACACGGCAACAGTGACAACAACAGACGAGCCGAACAGTGTTCACTCATTTGATTGTTTTTATAAATTTAACTTCATTTGACTCAAGTTGAGCTAATTTGGTTCAACCCATTTTTACTTTGCTCAAGTTAACTGACTTAAGTTGAGTTAACTTGATTTAACTTAAGTTGCTTTCAGGTTAAATCAGCCTGACTCGAATCTTACCACGATCTCCAGTCCTCCGTCTGCAGGAGTGTAGATGACTTTGTAGCCCTGAACGTTTCCGTCAGCAGGGTTCCACGTCACCGTCAGCGTGGTGATGGTTGGCTTGGTCACTTTCATGTTGTCCACTCCGCCCAAAGGCACTGGGAATATGGACATGACGTCAGAACACGGTGTGGTCACATGACGTCGTTCAAAGCATCCTGGAAGGTTTTTGAGATTTAAAGTTCTGAAGTGACTCACGTGTCTTTCCGTTCTCTGACTGGCGTTTCCCCTCCCTGGCCGGATAGACCGGTAACACCGACACCGTGTACGGCGTGTCGGGAAACAAGTTCCTGAGGATGATGGAGGTGGTGCCTGCGGGAACTTGCTCCTGTTCACAAAGACAAATGTAAATGTCTCTGTTGTTTCCTGACCTGATGATGAGTCTTTATTTGTCCTGAGAGGTGAGACAGGTGCAGCGGACTCACCATCTCCTCTTTGCCTCCGGCGACGGGCACGTAGAAGACCTTGTAGAGGCGAACAGCGCCATCTGCAGGCTCCCAGTCCACGGTCAGAGAGGTCATGGTGGGGTTGGTGACCCTCAGGTTCTTCACACCTCCCAGGGCCCCTGGACGACAGGACGAGTCGTAAACACTCGATTACTGTTTATCTTTTTACTGGAGAAGTGTGGAAATCTTTTTCTCAAATATCTGATGAAACCAAACGTTTCTGGAGGAAACTGTGACGTTAATGAGACTGAGCTCAGAAACATGAAACTTCTCATGTTTGTTCAAATCATTCACACTTTCAACTTTATTATCTGCAGTGACTTTTACTACATGTGTTTATAGAACACATATTAAAGGACTTACTTGTCTTTCCATTTTCAGACATGGTCTTTCCATCTCCCTCGGCGTACACCGGCACCAGAGAGACGGTGTAGAGGGTGTCGGGCTGCAGGCTTCGCAGGGTCGTGGTGGTCGTACCTGCTGACACTGTTTCCTGAGATCAACAACGGACAACACACGTCATTAACAGACACAGAATCAAACCTTTAATCTGTGTTTCTTTAATAAACTGAGACGCTGCAGGAAATCTTCGAGCAGCTTCAGTTTGAKGCAGGTGAACATTTCGACAGGAAGCAGTTCCCACCGTGCTCTCAGCTCCTCCGGCGGCAGGAACGTAGACCACTCTGTATTCCTTCACTCGGCCCTCGGCYGGCTCCCAGCGCACGTTCAGGGTGGTCATGGTCGGGTTCAGCACCTGCAGGTTCTTCACTCCGCCCAGAGGCTCTGAGGAGACACAGGTGAGACAGTTTCACACTTTACTACGGTTCCTGTACTTTACATATTTAACATCATTGATATGTAAGATGTTTAATTTATATTTAATTTGTGAAGTGAAAGTTTTTAAATCCCTTATTATCCACCTCTGTCCTTCTTTTCTTCCCTCAGATGTTTCTTTGCTGATTTTATTCTCTCTATCTCTCTCTATCATTTTCTCAAATATCTGATGAAACAAAACTTTGGATTTCTGGAGGAAACTGTGACGTTAAGGAGACTGAGCTCAGAAACATTAACGACCTTATGTTTGTTCAAATCATTCAAACTTTCAAAATACTTTCTGCTTCAGTTTGAAAAGTGTTTAATGGATGAAAAATACAACTTTATAATCTACAGTACCTTTTACTACATGTGTTTATAGAACACATATTAAAGGACTTATTAATGGACACAAGAATTTGCCTCATTACATTTGTTGAATATAATATTAACGTTCCCCTCTCAGTGAAATCTTAGTACATTTTAACCTTCACAAAGATTTAAAACTTCACCCACAGAATATTTTCTAACTTTTGTACGAGTCTAGATGTAATTCCCTGCTCGGTCTTACTTGTCTTTCCATTTTCAGACATGGTCTTTCCGTCTCCCTCGGCGTACACCGGCACCAGAGAGACGGTGTAGAGGGTGTCGGGCTGCAGGCTTCGCAGGNCAGGGTGGTCATGGTCGGGTTCAGCACCTGCAGGTTCTTCACTCCGCCCAGAGGCTCTGAGGAGACACAGGTGAGACAGTTTCACACTTTACTACAGTTCCTGTACTTTACATATTTAACATCATTGATATGTAAGATGTTGTTTAATTTATATTTAATTTGTGAAGTGAAAGTTTATTTTATTATCCACCTCTGTCCTTTTATTCTCTCTATCTGCCCCCCCCCCCCACCCTCTTTCTTACAAGGTCTTTCTTTCTTTGATTGTGATTGTGAGACAGTAATAGTAATTACTTTTCCACCCCTACTTTAAAATCTGAGTACTCCCCCCACTCTGAATGTTTTAAACTTCCTGTCCCGTCAGACTCTTACTGGTTCGTCCGTCTCCGGAGATGTCTTTGCTGACGCCAGTGGGATAAACCGCCGCCACAGAGATGGAGTAAGGAGTGTCCGGCCCCAGCTTCTGCAGGATGACGCTGGTCTTCTTCCCTCCGACCTGCGTCTGTTGACAGGAAACAGGTCAGCAGTTATTATTAAGTTAGACTTCAGTATTTATTCATCAACGTTGTCTAAATTAAATGTTTGTAGTCTTTTAAAAGGGCTGAAATTGAGCCTGGGGCCTAAAAATGTGTTTAAACATTCTAATGTTCCTGCTCTCGCCAAAAAACCAAACTGAAACTCAAATGCACCACAGTTGCTTCATGTTTTGGAGACTGATCCGTTCTTTCCGAGGACAATGTCCGCAAACTATTTACATTATTTAAACGCGAAGTGAAGTAAAGTATTTCTGTGAGAGAGGAATTCAAGCGGGCGCTGGGGAAATCCTGAGCAAACAAACTGAGCAGTATATCATGAAATGAATACGACAGCGTAAACACATTTGTGAAAAGGCATAAACAGTTTTCCTGGTAGCTAAGAGATGAATAACAGAGCATCGCTCCACGTTTACATCAGTATGTCTGGCATTCAGTTGTTTTTGTTGTGAGAACCATGAAAGAATCTGTGTGTTTGTTCCCAGCAGCTGTTAAACTCACTGTCCGTCCGTCAGCGGCTCCTGTCGAGATCAAGTCAGGAGATTTATGACGATGCGTTCATTTTCGTTTATAGATTTAACAAAATACTCTTTGAATATTATTCAACTCAGATTGTTGTGAACATGAAACAAACAGGAGGAAACTGTGGATTTGTTGGGGACTACGTTTGCAGTCCTGTCGGGACACAGTGGATCTCTGTGGCTCGGAGGAATTGAGACGTATCAGAGTTTGGATACAAACACGATAATCTGTCAAATAATAGTTGCTCAAATAGAAAGTATGATCGGATGAATCCCTCAGTTCAGCTGCAGATTCTTTTATTTTATTTTCCGTCTCTGTGGGTGATGAGTTTGATTTGTTCCACAGAGAGACACTATAATAACTCAGTGTGTTTAATGATATCTCATAAAGCATCAGCTCCGAGCACAGCCTGAAAAAACACTCCTCACTTTTATACTTAATTCCCAAATCAGACATCGCAGCTTCTCCACATTTTCCAGAGCGGTGACTGATGTTAACAACAACAAACGTGACAACGTGACACCGGCTGCTCTCACTCCTGATGTGCACACGTGTGACTCGGTGAACGAACCATGAGACGCATTTGTTCTGCTGACATCATGATCCGACCGTGACACTTTGTTTGGGGGAACGCTGTCATAACATCTCATACGCTCTCCTCTCAGGTCGTTTCCAATCACTGGAGTCATCCTGCAGGAACGACAGTTTAGCAGCCGAGCGCAGGAGCGAGAGGAGACGCTGTCACACACCAGACGTCAAATATGAAGAAGCAGCAGCTCAGAACGACGAGACGTTTCTCTGCCAGAGAGCCGAGCTCCTTCAGGACGTCTCTAAGGTTTGAGAGGAAAATCAGGTGGTACTCAGGTTGTTGTGTCCGTGTTGTTGTTTTATTAACGCAGAACTCTATAAAACCTCCGAGACGTCACTTCCTGGTCAAACACGTGTGTCACGGTGCAGACGTGTCTTTAAAACTCCAGACACCCCCCCCCCCTCTACATCTGTCCAGTTATTTCTATCTTCATCCACCATCATCCATCTGTTGAGCTCATTGTCTGTCCTCTAATGTCCTCAACAATCAGTGCTGTGAAGTAAAAGTACATTTTACTGCTGATGATGTATCAGTAGTACATGAGTAGTACATGAGTAACTGGCTGTACTTCCACAGCTGCTGGTGACCTGTGTGATGACTGTGCACAGGAAACATCCACATGTTGACGGATTTAGTTCGTCTTTGTTTTCAGACGCCTCATTCTAAAGATGTAACAGAAAGACAAACGTCTCTTAAGGGGATTCCCTGTGAGGGAGAGAAACCTTCCCATCATGTCCAGCAGCTGATAATGGACTTCTGTTTCTGGTTCTGTTTTGGGAATTGTGCTAAGTGAACACACTGACACATTTGACCCAGACTGGAGGAGTCCGCAGCGGTCAAAGAGCAGCACGGCTGGGAGACGCCGCACCCCGACAACAGCAGAACAAAACCTGCGTCTGTAGGAACACGGAGGGGAAATACACCCCGATAAGGAATTCGGTTCATTGTTCCTCTCGTTCACAGCCGGGCGGTGACAGCAGAGGGTTCATGGTTTTCTGGTGAAAGCTCAACAATCCAAGAACTGAGGCCAGTTTGGGTGTAAAAGCTAAAATCAACATTTCCGAGATCTCTGAAGTCAGAACTCTATTGTTCAGTGTGACGCAGCTCGACGCACCGATGAGCCAAGTTATTCTCTGTGTGTCTCTTCAGAAAAGTATTTCATGCTGATTCAACCTCTTGAGACACATTTATCGTATTTACTTTAACAGCTGAGGAATTCATTACACTGAAAAATGTCCCATTGGGGCGGAATAAATATAAAGCAGTTTTATTTTCCAGGAGACTGAGCTGACGGAGAATAAATCTACTGAGGTCTAAAATTAGGAATGCACTAATCCGAAAAATGTCTTTTGACTCAAACACAAGATTGATTAGTTAACCTTACCTGTACTTTACCCTCTTTATTTATCGATTACTACAACCCAACTGAATCTTTTTTACTTTGTATTGTTTAATTAATTTATCTCCAAATGATTTAATCTCTATTTCTGTCACCTGTTATGTGTCTGCAGCGATTCCTTCATGGCTCGATATACAAACTGTGCTTTTTCTGACGTAGATTCAAACAAACTAACATTTTAACTACGTGTAGAATAGAAAATAATGATTCTATCTTTTTCACAAGCTGATGACACCTTTGTATTTGTATCTCAACATTTCTCCCGGTGTTCTTTTTTAAAACTGCGATGTCTGTAATAGACTCACCACGAGAGCCTCGCCTCCAGCGGTGGGTCTGTAGGTGATCTTGTAGTTCTGGACGTTGCCGGGGGCGTGGTCCCACTTCACCGTCAGCGAGGAGACGGTGGCGTTTAAAACCCTCATATTGCGAGGAGGCTCCGGAGGCACTGGCAGCACAGAGAGACATGCAGTGAGATGGACAGTAACAATCACCAGTGATGAGGATGAGGATGATGAGGATGATGATGAGGATGATGAGGATGATGATGCTCTCACAGTCTCAACGGGTCATGGAGCTGGAAGGATGAATTTTAGGATGAAACATGGGAGGTGATGAGGTTTGATCAATGAAGCTGTTCAGAGCAGAACTGCACTTTAATGACTTCTGATTCAAGTAATTCAGCTTCTCAGTCAGTTCACATCAGTAAACACTGAACGAGTGATCACTGGACAAACAAGAGAATAAAGCTGATAAAATACATTTTGAGGGAACAAATTCAAATGTGTCCCTTTGACGGAACGTATTGTTGATGACATCAGAGTCATTCGTTTAGGAATATTTAATAAACTGCAGCTTCTCACAAATAACAGCCGCACTATGAAAAGTTAACTTGGGGGATTATTATACTTATTTGAAAGTTGAACGAGGGGAGTAAAGTTCTGCTCTGATAAACTCCTTTAATTTGAAGTAGAAGTGCAGAGAACTTCAACCGCTGCTCAGAGATGCAACACAACATGCAACACCATGGATTTGATGTTTGAGGTGATGAAGGGTGACGTTACGATGCGATGGATGAACTGCGCCGTGACACGACACAAATGTTATGATGACAACACGGTGCAAGATGGAACAAACACAAAACGGTTCACAGTGACAGTCACAACCCTGGAGGTCTGTGGAGGACGACGTGTTGGTCACTCTTCACTCTTTTCTGCATTTGAAGCTCCAGATCCACGTTCACACCACAATCTACTCTAATGTGAGCAGACATTTCAAAACGAAGTTACCTATCAACTCGTCCGTCCTCTCGGCTCTGATGTGTTGAACTTTGTGGGGTTGAGGTCAAATTAGACGAATCCCTTTTCTCGCCGATCTCTACTGGAGCAGATGTTGGGATAACTAGAAAAAAGGTTTGCTCCACAAAAGCTGAGCTTCAGTTAACTTGAAGCGGCAGAATGATCTCTGGTTGATGAGGTTAACGCCTCACGATGGTTGTGGTGTGAACGCAGAGTGAGTCACTGAGATACACGTACATGCAGTTAAGAAAGAAAGTGAGCTCCCGTCAACACTGTCGTTATCGTCCACGTCACCGTTCCACACAAACTCATGAACATTGCAATGAAAAGGAAACTCCTCCCTCTCATATCACGTACCCTCCGCAGCCTTCAACACTAGAAAGAGATGTTGAGAAAACATCGGTGTGATTACTACAGTGTTCTGAACCAGACAAACATCTGTAAAACACGCTGGTTGTTTTTTTGGGATCTCGGACAGCGAGAGATTCGCACGAGACGACTCACGTGTGCGTTCGCTTCCCATCAGGTCCTCGCTCTCTGACTCGTCTGGGTAGATGGCTGTGACGGTGACATCGTACTTGGTGTCGATGTCCAGGTCCTCCATGACGTGGGACGTCTCGTCGTTGTTCAGGATGGCCTGGAAACACACGGACACACGTGTTGGAGAACATGTCTTTTCCCTTTTTGGTTGAATCTGCTTCTTCAGGTGTTTCAGCTCAACCGAGCTTCACCATTACTGTCTAAATAAATAAATTAAAGAGGTGACACACACGCAGAGCGGTTCAGAAAATGAAGATAAGATGTCTTCATGCTCTAAAGAGATCATCTGGGTACTGTTGTCAAGTAATAATGTGATAAACTAAGACTGGAATGAATTTGTGTTTTAATGTATGTCGTGTGGGGAGAAGAGAATAAGATCCAAAACATCAGCCGGGTCAAAGCATCGCAGAAGTGAAAACAAAGAGCATTATTGTTGCCTCGGCTAAGATGGATGTTTGTACTTAAGTCTTGGCGAACACAATAACAACGTTTTGTGAGGCATGGCAGTTTTAAGGGATCTGTGAAACCACAGTGGATAATTCTTGAAATCTTCTTATTTTTTTGTTTTGGTAAGAAGAAGTATTTTTAATGACGGCCCCCGGAGTACGAGCGTCTTATTTCACATGCAAACAACATCTTCCGTTTCACGGTCGTGACTTAAGCGAGCCTCGTTCTCAGATTTTAGACGGTTACAGAAGGTTGATGGTTTAAATCTGAGAGTCGGTATCTGCAGGTGTGTTTCTTTCAATGATCTGAACCTGAACTCAGAGTTTTACTGAATATATTTGAGTTCTGGCTCCAGTTTTAATCACAGGAAGGAAACACCATCATGCTGGAGGCAACACTTCCACTGGTTTGATTCCGAGCAGATGAAACGAAACCAGATGTTCACGCTGCTTTCCAAACAACACTCATTTGCATATTTTTAGAGAAGCAACTTATCTGAATCAATGATCTGCTCAAGATCAACATCCAGATACAATCAACCATCACAACACCTTTGTATAATTATCATATTTGAAGAAGTCGTTAATCTTCCCTGATAAGTGAACAAGGCTGAAACAACACTCTAACTCCTGCCGCTCTGTCTCCATGTGGGAATCTTTGCGTTTGACTGTAGCTCACTCACAAACTGACGGTTGGTGTCCCCCGCCTTGTTCCAGCTGATGCGGTAGAGGGCCACATCCGGGGCCCCGTGCTCCCAGGTGGCTCTGAACGAGGTGTGGGTCACCTCAGAGAAGCGCAGGTTCTTGGGGGCGGGAACAACGTCTGTTTACGAGGAAAGAAACAAGAGGACGGAGACGAAGCAACGTCATGTGAAGAGCTGAGTGTAACTGAGCAGTGTGTGTGTGTGTGTGTGTGTTCACCAGTGATGAATCCAAGTGCACAAAACATTCAGACCTGTGATAGCGGATCCGATCATCGTGGTTCCAGGTCCCTCGTCGTACATCGGGGTGACGGCCACGTCGTACTCGGTCTGGGAGATGAGGCTGGTCAGGTCCAG